GAGGGTCTCGGAATGTCACGACCCAGGGTTATCCCCTAGATGTAACACGGCGTACTTGACCCCGAAGGGGTTGCATACAAGCCTCATAGCATACATGAACATAAAAGCATAGGAAAATAGTGCGGAATTTAAAACTTTTCTTTACAGTAGAAGTCTCTTATAAAATGCAAGAGAATCTATGACACTATGTCTCAAACCATCTATTATACTTGGAACAAAACTCTGGAAATACAATCTTAGGGACATAGCCCTTATATAAGCCTAAAACATCAAAATAAAGACATAAGGGACATATGGTTGAGCCCTCGAATACAATGAGGACTCACCAATCTTTTTCTTCTTGATCTACTAGAGTCCTAGCCACGAGGATGGAATCCAATATCTCCAAAGCCTACACTTATAGAAAATGTAGAAAGATGGGGTTAGCACAAAAAGTACTAAGTATGGAAGCCATGCACAAAACCATTAAAACATGCATAAAAAGGGACATTTCATTTGAAATCATGCTATATGCCATTTTTGAACATCATCTTTGAAATAGTTGGAGAATGCAACTCACATACATTTCATTATAACATGAGAGATATCATTATAATAACAAGCATAGTCTCCAACATCAACATAATACATTTCCCGAATCTTCACAATACATAGCCTCCAATCATAAAGTAATACAAAGTCAAATACCAAGATCATCTCATCACAAAGTAATCATCACATAAGCAACCCCTAAGAAACACTTGTGCAATGTATGGTTGACATCCCATAATACCAACCCTACTAAGTACTCCTTTGAAGCTATCTTAGTTATGCACTTCATTCTTAGACCTCACTATAAGCAATATCCCTAAATAAGTAAATAGTCATGTACATTACTTGAATTATAAGGAAAGTCATTCATAACAACTATCTACTCAACACACGTGCATGCATTCAAATCTCATCATAACACAGAAGAACCATCCCATGACATCCTACTAAGTCTACTTGTGCAATGTAAAAGTGACATCTCATACCCCCACTCCTACGAAGTAAAACTCATTAAGAAGTCATAGTATAGTTCATATCTCATTCATTATCTTTATTATATAGGGAAAAGTAGCCATAACCTTCATAGACCATGTGAGCAACATGGAATCTGGTGTCGTGCAACCCCACACCGAAAGAAGGTGTCCTACTTGCCTAAGGTAGAACTAAATGTTTTAGCTTTTAAGTGGATCCACTAGCTAAAGACCCATGTGGGCACATAGTTAAGGGGTAGGGAGATTGCTTCTAGAAACCCGCACTATTGCATTGGACTTTCAATCAACACAATAGTATCATCATGGTCATGTACATTTCATGCATAATAATGTGTAAAGGTTTATATGAGAACTAAACTTTTAATTAACACCATTGATACATCATAATCATGTTTATGCATGGAGTGTGTCTGTGTTTAATTGTCTTTGCAATAACACAACAACAACATTATCATCATCCTAGACAATTCATTCATAATCAAGTGTAAGGGTAAGGGAATAATGGCCTTTCAACAATACCACAATATACACAATAATCATAGGACCTTCACTTTCTAAATAAATCATAAGTTCACACACAATCTTGTCAACATGCACAAACCTTCATAATATGCCCTTCAAAGGAAATGGACCAACTCATCCCAAACATATAGCAATAGCACATTGGATAAGGGAGTACCATGATCCAACAACTCATCAATACCTTAATCACATCATGATTGGCACTTTATACTCCAAATATTCTAAACATGCATATAGTATCATGATCAAGTCAATTCATGTTTAGAAGCATTACCCTAAGACAATTCAAGTCTAGGTGATCTAATCTAAGGCATTACATGAAGAAATTTACCATTCTTGGAGGATCACATTTAAACCCTCAACTAGCCTCTTTCATGGAACAACCCTAGACTATATCAATTCACCTTAGAAATCCTAGGTTAATCAAGTATACATGTAAAATAATACTTAGATCATGCAATTACATCATAAATAACTCATATCCAATCAATTGGACCAACTTGCAAAACCATCACATAATCTGAAGAAGAACCATAACTAGGATTGGGGGTCTCATGGATTCTTGAAGGAGTTGAGTTAAAATCATATAAAAATCAGTCATATATCCATAAAAAAACCTAATTCAAACTTTAAAAGAAACTTTAAAAGGAATCCATGGAGTTGAGTTGAAACCCTAGCTAATTGGGTTTTCTAGAATTGAGATAAAAGCATTTGAATGGGCTCCTTGGGTGATAGCTTCCCAAAGATGAAGAACTCCCATACCTTAATTGATGTTTTCCCATGAAATTGGAGTGAAAAGCTTGGATCTTGAACCCTAATCTTGACCTTTTTCTATGTTCTTCAATGGAGGTTTCTAGAGAGAAGATATTTGAGAGAGAGAAGAACTTTTTGATTTGATTTGGGTTTTGGAGAATAAAGGAATAATGAAGTGTTTTAATGCTTAAAACTATTTATATATGATATAAACTAATTAAAAACAAACCCACACCATAATTAATTAAAAGGAAATTACCTACTCACCCTTACTTTGGGCAGCCCAGGTCAGGGACCACGCCCACCTAGACGATCCGTCAAGTGGACCACGTCCCGTGGTGGTGGCTGTGGTCCCTTGACCAGTAGCTCCCTCAACTTGTCAAGGCTCCCAAGTGGTGAAGGTAATCCCACGAGTCTTCCCACGGGTCGTTAAGACCCTCGTGGTGATGCTAGGCAGTGGCTAGATGGAGTTTTATGCAACCTTGGCCCCCACAATGCCAAGGCAAGACCACGAGACCTCCCACGATCCGTGGTCAAGACCACGAGTCGTGGTAGAGGTCGTGGTTCCTAGGTAGTGGATATGCCTCAACCCCAAGTCTCACACATGCCTAAGGGACCTTTACAAGCCCTTTCACGGAATGTGGTCAAGACCGCTGGTCGTGAAAATGGTTGTGGTCCTTGGGCAGTATTGGCCAAGCTTGGGGCAGCCTTGGCCTTTGGCTTAGGCTTGCCCCCTTTTGGCTTGGCTTTTGACCTTGCAATCTCAACCAAACCTTAGAAGGTCTTCTAAACTACAGGGTCTAGAACATACTTAGATGTTTAACCACTAAACCCCTTAACCTTTGACGTTAACCCACACGTTAGGCTCTAATTTCACCTATTCATTTTATGGGTCGTTACATTATTCCCCACTTAGGAACATTCGTCCTGGAATGACACTTTAAACATATTAAGGGATAACGACTCAAGACTAGCAGCCCATCATGCATGCAACATCAATAATGCACAACTCAAGATACACTTATTCACAATGTGCACTTAATCAAAGGAGGAAATATCAACTAGAATTCAACATGACCAATGCTATAGGAGGAAGTATGAACTATATCTAACAACTCATTTATGCATGAGATTCTCATAATTTGTCATGTTCGAGGGGGTATTACCATTTCCTATTCATAATATGATCAACGTACTCTCATGGAGCTCATATGAAAATTTTCTCAAATAAAAAAAAAGCAATTCATTTAAGGAGGAATTTCTCAACTCCCAACTAAAACATGTCCACATATTCTTCTCATGAAGTACAATAGGCAACTCTTACTCAAAGCACCACAACATGAGGGAAAACAATTCACATAAACTCAATTTCCTTCAAAACATAAGTTTTCATGAACATGCATTATCTAAAGAAGTCATGGCAACACATAAGCGCATAACACAATCAACATGGAGCCCAAGTGCCATTTCATCAAAAACACAACAAAGCATGTTCATTTCATCATCTCATGAAGTCAAATATGCCATCACCAAAGTAGAATGCACAACAACATGAGGACTATGTAAATCATGAAAAATCCATTTTATACAAAGTAAGAATCTTTCAAAAACATGCACAACATAAGGAGATCATGTAATTTTTTTAAAACACTCATGTCTCCTAAACATAAAACAAGCCCAAAAAGGAACTCTTGGTCTCAAGCTAGAATAGGAATAGAAGAAAGACATGAGGATATCGGGACTCTCAATCAATGTTGCTACTCAAGAACATGATCTCCCCCTTGGGAGTAAGCCCCTTTTTACAAAAGCCTCAATTACTACTCCTTTCCAAAAACTCAAATCATTTCTAAGACCCACTATAATCCTACCAGGCTTTAAAACTAATAGAGGTCTAATAGTCATGCATCCAAGCCCTACCAAGGTTAACAAAAGTAACTCTATGGGACAAGGAAATCATAGGACACACATATCATCCAAGACTCCATGATCAAGAAATGGGTCAAGGAGAACTTATCATCTTAGTCTAGAGGAGAAATAGAAGGGAACATAAGGATATTGGAGCATCTCATTGGCCCTTGGCCTCCCAGTTAAGCACCTTCAACTAACACCCTTACTAAAATACCACTCCTCCATATTTTCATGAAAGCAATTTCTTATTCTTCTATTTCTTGGCTTGACGGTCTAAGATCCCAATTCGGTACTTCTAAATTAGCGAGGTTCTCATCTAAGCACTTTTTTGCTCACAAGCAACCTTACCAACACCACTCAAAGTCTCATATGAGCCTACCAAACCGGGACTAAACTTCTCAACTCACTACACCTTTTAAGGTGAGATTATCAAGCAAGCCTAACTCATGACCATCAAGGACACTCAATGACCTTACCATCTAAGCACATTATCCCCCACTTAGGGTAAGCCTTTACAAACTCTTTACAACATCACTTCCTTCAATTCTAAGGTCGGAGAAAGTCATGACTAAACCTTCATACTTATCACACAATATGATTCTAAACCATGGAGGATTACACTTCTATCCTCTTTTAAAAATGTCTACTCACTCAACATCTCTAGGCACCACTTAAACACCACTAATCATCAAAATCCAACACATCATAAAACTCATTATGGCTAAGTTGGGTTATACCAATAACCACATATGGTCATAATTAAACCCATGAATTCTAAGGACAATACAAAGTTCATCATATCCAATTTATCAGGTCACAAAAGACAAGTATTATCGGAATAGAGGTAAGCATAAAACACATACCGGTAGCCACATTAGGAGGACACTTTTGTTCACCTCTACCTTGAAGAACATCGGTCCTAATTTTCTTCATCTCTCTTCCCCTAGCCGTAATTATCGGGCAATTTCTTATTAGGTGGTCACTTCCACCACAACCATAACAACCCTTTGTACCGGCTAGACACTTACCATTATGTTTCTTTCCACACCTAGCACAAGTAGGACTAACTACATAAGATCCACTACCACTCACTCCTTTAGATTTTAGGGTAGACACCTCCTTTTGGTTAAACTTAGGGGGAATATTGGAATGGCTTTGACCATAAGACCCTTCTTGGGAGGAGTCATCATCTTCAAGCCTATACCTCTTTGTTCCTCTAGACCTCTCTTCAAATTTCTCATTTTCAAACCGTTGAGCATGAATCACAAGACGATCCATAGCCATATCATTCTCAAGCATAACCATACTACATTCTCTTATTATCAAGTTGGATAAACCTGACACAAACTTACTCATCTTCATCTTAGGGTTGGCAACTATGGATGGAGCATATCTTGACAACCTAGTGAACACCCGAGCATACTCTTCAACACTCAACCTACCTTGATGAAGGTTAACAAACTCAAGTATCTTAGCCTCTTTCACCTCTAAAGGGAAAAACCTATCAACGAACCCATTCATAAATCTTTCCCATTCCATAGGGCCCGCTTCTACCGGCCTCACTCCTTTCCATTGACTAAGCCACAATAGAGAAACATCCTTCAATTGGTAAGCGGCCAATTCCGCCTTCTCTACCGGTGTTACTCTTACAAAGTGCAACACCCTAGAGACCTCCTCTATAAACTCCAAAGGATCTTCCTCCATCTTTGACCCATAGAAATCCGGAATCTATATCTCGACTTGAGTGAACCAATGGAAACCATACTTAATCTTCACATTTGACATTAAGTCAATAGGGACTTGAGGATCTTGAGGAGAAGCTCCTTGATCATCATAGTCTTCTTCAAACCCACCGGTGCAAGCTCCTTGAATACTCATATCTTGTAGATCACCGGATAAGGATTAGAAGAAACACCCTATAAGGTTAAACTCTATCGCACGACTCAAAGAATGAAGAAGTGAAGTTTTTCCTAACATCTGATAGCATCCTATTCCTAAAATGTGGTGTGCTTCACATTTATGAACAAGATTCTACTAGATGTGGTTTCAGACATCCTAAAAAACATTCCAAAAACCTTATGCTCTGATACCATGTTTGTCACGACCCGGGGTTACCCCTAGAAGTAACACGGCGTACTTGACCCCGAAGGGGTCGTATACCAGCCTCATAGCATACATGAACATAAAAGCATAGGAAAATAGTGCGAATTTAAACTTTTCTTTACAATCGAAGACTCTTATAAAATGCAAGAGAATCTATGATACTATGTCTCAAACCATCTGTTATGCTTGGAACAAAACTCTTGAAATACAATCTTAGGGACATAACCCTTACATAAGTCTAAAACATCAAATTAAAGACATAAGGGACATATGGTTAAGCCCTCGAATACAATGAGGACTCACCAATCTTTTTCTTCTTGATCTACTAGAGAAATCGCCACGAGGATGGAATCCATTATCTCCAAAGCCTACACTTATAGAAAATGTAGAAAGATGGGGTTAGCACAAAAAGTATTAAGTATGGAAGCCATGCACAAAACCATTAAACCATGCATAAAAAGGGACATTTCATTTGAAATCATGTTATACGCCATTTTTTAACATCATCTTTGAAATAGTTGTAGAATGCAACCAATAAGGCAACTCACATACATTTCATTATAACATAAGAGATATCATTATAATAACAAGCATAGTCTCCAACATCAACATAATACATTTCCCAAATCTTCACAATACATAGCCTCCAATCATAAAATAATACAAAGTCAAATACCAAGATCATCTCATTACAAAGTAATCATCACATAAGTAACCCCTAAGAAACACTTGTGCAATGTATGGTTGGCATCCTATAATACCAACCCTACTAAGTACTCCTTTGAAGCTACCTCAGTTATGCACTTCATTCTTAGACCTCATTATAAGCAATATCCCTAAATAAGGAAATAGTCATGTACATTACTTGAATTATAAGGAAAGTCATTCATAACAAATATCTACTCAACACACATGCAAGCATTCAAATCTCATCATAACACAAAGTAACCATCCCATGACTTCCTACTAAGTCTACTTGTGCAATGTAAAAGTGAAGTCCCATACCCCCACTTCTACTAAGTAAAACTCATTAAGAAGTCATAGGATTGCTCATGTCTCATTCATTATCTTTATTATATAGGGAAAAGTAGCCATAACCAACATAGACCATGTGAGCTATATGGAATCTGATGTCGTGTAACCCCACACCGAAAGAAGGTGACCTACTTGCCTAAGGTAGAACTAAATGTGTTAGCTTTTAAGTGAATCCACTAGCTAAAGACCTATGTGGGCACATAGTTAAAGGATAGGGAGATTGCTTCTAGAAACCCGCCCTATTGCATTGGCGGAGGGGCTTCCATCTCATGAGTTCACTTTAGGTGAACCAACCTATTGCATTCACGGAAGGGCCTTTTTCCTCATTTTCCATATCCACTCGGTGCTAAGCATTATATCCCAAATTATATGTCATTAGTCTTGAATTGTATTTACATGTGTGAAGGAGTGCCCTACCCTTCATTCAATACAATTCATAAAATATCTCATAGATTCATTAAAGGTGAGAATGTACTTTCAACCTTAGAATCAACATTAGTATGTGAGAATAACTTTCATACCAAGATCATGTGTTCTCATGAGAATGGAATTTCAATCAACACAATAAGATCATCATGGTCATGTTCACTTCATGCATAATAATGTGTAAAGGTGCATATGAGAACTATACTTTTAATTAACACCATTCATACATCATAATCATGTTTATGCATGTAGTGTGTGTGTAATTGTCCTTGCAATGACACAACAACAACATTATCATCTTCCTAGAGAATTCATTCATAATCAAGAGTAAGGGTAAGGGAATAATGGCCTTTTAACAATACCACAATATACACAATAGACATAGGACCTTCACTTTCTAAATAAATCATAAGTTCACACTCAATCTTGTCAACATTCACAAACCTTCATAATATGCCCTTCAAGGTCTATGGATCAACTCATCCCAAACATATAGCAATAACACATTAGATAAGGGAATACCATGATCCAACAACTCATCAATACCTTAATCACATCATGATTGGCACTTTATACTCCAAATATTCATAAACATGCATATAGTATGATGATCAAGTCAATTCATGTTTATAAGCATTACCCTAAACCAATTCAAGTATAGGTGATCTAATCTAAGGCATTACATGAAGAAATTTATCATTCTTGGAGGATCACATTTAAACCTTCAACTAGCCTCTTTCATGGCACCCTAGACTATATCAATTCACCTTAGAAATCCTAGGTTAATCAAGTATACATGTAAAATAATACTTATATCATGCAATTACATCATAATTAACTCACATCCAATAAATTGGACCAACTTGCAAAACAATCACATAATGTAAAGAAAAACCATAGCTAGGATTGGGGGTCTCATGGATTCTTGAAGGTGTTGAGTTAAAATAATAAAATAAATCAGTCATATATCCATAAACAAACCTAATTCAACCTTTAAAAGCAACTTTAAAAGGAATCCACGGAGTTGAGTTGAAATCCTAGCTAGTTGAGTTTTCTAGAATTGAGATAAAGGCTTTTGAAAGGGCTCCTTGGGTGATGGCTTCCCAAGGATGAAGAATTCCCATACCTTCGTTGATTTTTCCCCACAAAATTGGAGTTAAAAGTTTGGAGCTTGAACCCTTATCTTGACCTTCTTCTATGTTCTTCAATGGAGGTTTTTAGAGAGAAGATATTTGAGAGGGAGAACTTTTTTATTTGATTTGTGTTTTGGAGAATAAATGAATAATGAAGTGTTTTAATGCTTAAAACTATTTATATATATGATATAAGCTAATTAAAAATGAACCCACAACATAATTAATTAAAAGGAAATTACCTACTCACCCGTACTTTGGACAGCCCCCGTCAGGGACCACGTCCACCTAGATGATCCGTCAAGTGGACCACGTCCCGTGGTGGTGCCCGTGGTCCCTTGACCAGTAGCTCCCTCAACTTGTCAAGGCTCCCAAGTGGTGAAGGCAATCCAACGAGCCTTCCCACGGTCTGTGGTCTTCACCACAAGCTGTGACGTGGCTCGTGAAGGAAAGCCTTCCTTGGGCAGCCTTGTGAGCTCACTGTCTTGCCAACCACGAGGTGCACCATGACTCGTGGTGGGCATCACGACTCGTGGTGGCCACCACAGGTCGTGAATACCCTCGTGGTAATGCTAGGTAGTGGCTAGATGAAGTTTTATACAACCTTGGCCCCGACAACGCCAAGGCAAGACCATGATCATCCCACAAACCGTAGTCAAGACCACGAGTCGTGGTTCCTAGGCAGTAGCTAGGCCTCAATTCCAAGTCTCACACATGTCTAATGGACCTTCACGAGTCCTTTCACGGACCGTGGTCAAGACCACTATTCGTGAAAGTGGTCGTGATCCTTGGGCAGTGTTGGCCATGCTTGGGGCAGCCTTGGCCTTTTGCTTAGGCTTGCCCCCTTTTGGCTTGGCTTTTGACCTTGCAACCTCAACCAAACCTTAGAAGGTATTCTAAACTACGGGGTCTAGCACTTACTTGGATGTTTAACCACTAAACCCCTTAACCTTTGACGTTAACCCACACGTTAGGATCTAGTTTGACCTATTCATTTTATGGGTCGTTTCATGGAATTATTGAAATAGCTCACTGTTTCGTGCAAGCAGCTTCGACATTGGGTTTTGTTGTTTTGGCGGGGCCGCTGTAGCTAGGTGAGGGCTGCTGTGGCGGGCCAGACGCGATTTAAGGTCATAAATAAACCCCTAAACGACCTTATTCTGCACTTTTCAATTTTTACAGCTAAGGAACGAACACTATTCTTGAGGCTAAAGGTAAGTTTTACATTCCCTGAATCCATTTTTCTATACGTAAAACATAATGGATAATTATCGATGAGGGAGTGTTCTGATCTAGATTCTATGGTGGAAACAACCATATTTTGGATACTTGGGATCATGGGTATAATCTAGGGTTCATAGATTTGTTAACAATTTGGGTAATTAGTTATTGTTTATTGATTCTCGTGTTATTATGATTATTTGTAGACCAAGAACAAGCGGAACGAATCCAGAAAGGGAAGGATCAAGTTCCTTAGGGTTTCAAGCTTGTTTCGAGGTTGGTTATAGTTGTAATGCTATGATTGTGTGATGTATGTTTGTTCTTACTTCGTTATGATACTTGCATGTATGCTAATATTGCATTCTTGATCACACTGGTTGTAAATGAGATAGATGAATGATGAATGCCATGAATCATGACTTATTTGTATGAACTTGAGAAGATACTTGTGATTGTGATTGTGGTGTGTTGAATGGATCGGTTGCCACATTTCGGCATAACTAATTGGGATCGGTTGCCACGTTTTGGCATAATTATGGGATCGGTTGCCACATTCTTGCATAAACATTGGATTGGGTACCACGTTCTGGTATGCTAATTGTTTGTTTTTGGGTTCCATGAGAGGACCAATGACTTGTCATAATTGTGTATATTATTGAGCATGTGATAATCGATATTGTATATGTTCGGTATTTTGTATGTTTATAATGTTGTATTGACTTGCTTATGTTACAGTTCCTGGGATAGCCGCGTGATCCTACCAGTTCACTATGGTTGTGTACTGAT